TATTCAGACGGCTCAGAGCAGGCATAAGAGTTATGCGGACACCCGGAGGAGAGATTCAAAATTTGAGAAAGGTGACCGGGTATTCCTTAAGGTCACTCCTTTCAAATGAATTAGTAGGTTGGGCATGAGGGGAAAACTGAACCCCCGATTTATTGAACCATTTAAAGTCTTAGACAGGATTGGTACCGCCGCCTACAGACTAGTACCACCTCTAGAGCTTTTCAAGGTCCACAATGTGTTTCATGTGTCCATGTTATGCAAGTACAACCCGGACCCCTCTCATGTCTTGGCCAACAAGCCTCTTCCACTCTAAGAGAATCTATCTTACGAGAAAGTACTGGTCGACATTGTGGATCGAAAGAGCAGATTACTCCGTAATCGAGAAATTTTCTTTATAAAGGTCATATGACAAAACCACACACCGAGGGAGGCTATATGAGAGCTAAAATCAGACTTTAGAGCCCAGTATCCCCAGTTGTTCGATTAAGAGTGAGAGATAAGTTTGAGGGACCAAATTTCTTTATGGGGGGAGAGTTGTAACACCCATCAAATTTTGTTTTTATTTTTTATTAATAAATATAATTTTTTAATTTTAATTTATTATATTTTGTTTTATTTTAATTTAATAGAAAAAATTGAGTAAATTGATAAATGATTAAATTGAAAACAATTTTGGAAAAAAAGAGTAAAAATTTAGGTTCTGATGGTATTTTTGAAAGAAAAATCAGAAATTGAAGATCAAAACGTAATTTAAAAAAATCACACCACGTCAGATGCCCGGTCAGCAGCCCGACCAACCAGGACGTGCCAAGTGGTAGAGGTGCTGACGCGGGGCGAGCCACGTGGGTGATCCGCGTGCGCGTGATTGAATGACTGAGGTCCATTCCCACGCGCACGGACGGCACAGAGTAAAACGCGCACGTCGCGATTCCAATCTGGTTTGTTTCCGCGCGCACAGACAACCCAGATTGGATCGCGATGAACGGTCCAGATTCATTCCCTATTTAATCGCAATCGGATGGTCTAGATCAAAAGTAATGGACGGCCCAGATCGAAAGCAGATGGGTATAAATAACCCCATCTGTACCCAAACCCTAACCCTAGCCGCCAAAACCCCTCTCCGGAGAAGATCACCCAGCTACCAGGGAGTCGACCGCCACCACTCGCTGCTGCACTAGAACCCTTTCTGACTGCTAAAAAAGGTAAAAATTTCTCTTTTTGCACAAAATTCAATTTTAAGCTCACCCATGGCCAAATCAGAGTCAAAGGATCGGTCAATTGGCCGAAAAACACCAACGACGCCGTCGCGAGAAATTCCACAAACTGCCTCCGATGAGACCCTTTCTGATTCCTGTTTTGCATAATTTTTTCACCATTGTGATCACCATTTTCTTCTCTACAAGTTGACCGAAGTGAAAACACCCAACCACAACGTGAGCCAGAGGAACCATCGCACCGGAGAGCCCCACCGCCAGTGAGTTTCAGTTTTTCGTATTTTTTTGACCCACCAAGGCCCTTTAGCGTGTGTGCTCGTAGGAATCGATGCAAAATCAGCTGAATTCAGCCAAAAACGGCTGAAAATAGCCGAACCAAGGCGGATCACTGCCACAGGCGGCGGCGGTGTCGCCGAAGCATGGTGGAGCCGCCGTGTCAGATTTTTGAAATTGGCTAAGCGGGCCCTGGGGCTGATTTTGGGTTTATTTGGAACACTTGTAGGTGCTATAAACGCGTTTCAGTTTCCAGACAAAAATTCAGGGAACACAGGGACCACCCGTAGGCGTAGTAACCATTTAGCTTTTTGATATTAAATCAAGTAAGGACCCCTAACCCTATGTCCTATCATAGAATTAAAGTTTGAATAACTAATAATATGGTATTTTGTACAAATTAAGTAGATGTGCATAATTAATTACGGATTGCTAATGGAGCCCAAACCGGACATTGTTCTCTGTGATTTATTTTACAATATAAAAGCATGATAGTATCTGATTTATCTATTTTATGGTTTAAATGCATGTATTACTGCCCTACCTGATCACTGTTTGATTTTGGAATTTGAGACATGATTGCATTACCGGATACATGTTTGTTTGTTTATGTGATTATGTTTGATTTGATAATAGAGACTAAGGAAAAACAGGAAAGGGGTGTGATCAAATAAACAGATAGAATGATAGCCTTACTAGATATCCTAGAAGATGGTAGACGGACCGGATGTATAGGGAATCCTACCGTGAATGTTGTCTCATACCAGACAGGGTATGGAGACTTGGTAATTTGACGCTCATACAGGACGGGGTATGGGGACGGCCCTGTAATTGAAATTGTTAAGGGAAATGGTTCACTTATAGCGAGGACACCCCTATGAACCTCCATAGATACTAGTAGGCTGGTGAAATAAGAAACGGTTATAATTTGGTTTATTATTAATGAATATGAATTTATGATATGTTTTATATTACTGGTTGTTCATGAAGTTATGATTTGTATAGTATTATTGTCTCTATAGGTTGTTTTTATAAATTCTACAATGATAAGTGAACGGTAAATGATTTTATGATTGATAAACGAAATTGCTAAATTTAGTGCTCCATTGGTTGGTTTGATTTTCTATCAACCTTTACTTCTGTGCCGGTGATATTCTTACTGAGCTAGTGTAGCTCATCTTTTATTTAACCATTTCAGATCAAGAGGACCTGGTTCCAGAGCCCGATCTGCAAGAAGATTGCGAGTAGATGCTAGATACTTACTATTTTCTATTATTTTTCTTATTTCTCGTGTTCCTTTATGAGAATTCATTCCGTAATATTGTTCAATACTTTTAAGTTATTATGTAAGGGATGTAAACCTTAACATTTTGTTTTATTTTCGCACTTAAATTATTATATATCTCCTTTTGGATTTCTGAGGTCGTTACACAAACACCAAAAAAAGAGACTGGCCACGTCGCCACCGCACCGGAGCCACTGCCAATGCCAAAAAAGTAAGATTTTCCTTCATTCCACTTGAAATTTAGTCCTGAATCTCCCTATGCCCATATCAGAGTCAAAAGGCTGACGGGTGATCCAAAATATATTAGTGAAGCTCGACCGAACTGCCGCGGTCGAAATCGAAAACTCCTCTGATGAGCTCCTTTTCGTTTCCCATTTCCCATAATTTTTTTACTGTTGTTTTCCTCGTTTTGTTTTGATGTAAGTTAGCCAAAGAAACACCCTGACCACAAAAGGAGGAATGACAGAATTGCCACACCTGAAGACCCCTTCACCGGTAGAGTTTCAGTTTTCACCTTTTCTGGTCAACAGAGGCCCCCTAACTTGGTCTTTTGCAGGTTTTCATGCAAAATCGGCAAAAACTAGCCTCAACTGGCTGAAAACAGCCAGGTCGAGAGGAACCACCACTGCGGGCGCCGGAGCACGGTGGTGCCATCGTGCCGGAACCCTAAATTGGTCGAAAAAGTTTAAAAACACATATTTTTGCTTTTTGGGGTATTTTTGGATACGTGACGGGTATTTTTAATTTTGGCAGGAAAAATTCAGGAAACTCGAGTATTGTCAAGAGGCGCAATGAAAAGTACATTATTTCGTAAACAGATCCGGGGTAAGAATCCATCACTCTTTTTCCCGTTAAGGTAATTGAAGTTTAATAATCAATAACGTTATCTTTTTTTAAAATTAAAAAATTTTAAAATTAATTACAGATCAATAGTGGAGTCGAAACCGATCAGTGCATATTTGTCCTAGCTTGTTGTTTATTTTCTCCTATACTGCCTAAAAAGCTTCACTGTTATATTGTATGCTTCAAATTATTGATTTTAATTGCTTTCTCAGTTATTTAGTTTATCTACCCGCATTGTCCTCATCTGTTGATTGGTTTGCAATGAATGTCCTAATTATGTTTTCTTAATTTACGTGTTGTCTATTTGTGTGACTTACTGTTGATTAGTAAAAATGTGATGTTGGTAAGTGATTTGGTGATTCGTTGATGATATGAATCTATGTATGAAAGGCCTATCGGATACCCTGGGGAAGAGTGTATGAACCCTAGTACATAGAAAAATCCCTACCGTGGGCATTACCTCAGTCAAACGGGACTGAAAAGTCCCATATCAGAATGGGTTGAGATGTATAATTTACCCTCATACCGGACGTAGTATTAACGCGGTGGTATGTTTGGCGCCCATTACCAA